AGCCAAGAAAAGCTAAAGAACTCATCCAAGATCACACAGCTAGCAAATGGTAGAGCCAGCCAGTCTGTCTCTAGAGTACTATGTTATAATGCCTGCTATTGTTATTTTTATTATAGTAATCTAGATTAGTGATAATAGAGGTCTAAACATAAATAGTGGAATTAACTATAGAAGGTAAATGTGTGTGAAGAGAGCGTTTTAAAATATAATAAATACAAAATTCCTTCACTGATTGTGTATGATGATGGGGAGAGAGTAATATGTTTTGGGTGACTGGATATAATAGGAAGTGCTTTAGAGAAAGGAAAGATCCGGGATCAGTAGAGTCTTTGGGGTACCCAAAATCTATTAGGAAAGTAGATGCAGGTCTCTTCTAAGCCTAAGAAACAGATGTGGAATTATCAGCCTAGCCCAAAGTCTAGTGCTATCAAATTAATTCCAACATAGCAAACTTGTAGGACAGAGTAGACTTGCCCCTTAGCATTTCCAAGGCTGTAATTTTTTTACAGAAGCAGGCGGTTAAAGCTTTCTCCCATGGAGTGGTTGTAGGGGATCAAATTGCCAACCTTTCAGGTTGAAACCATGTGCTTAATCACTAGGGTTCATACTAGCCTAGTAGCCTAGTGGTTAAATCCAAACTAGCAGTCAATCAGCTACATGAAGTTTTCCAAAATGTTTGTTTAGCACACTGTTTTAAAATAAGTGGAATTAGTTACTAAAATAAAAACAATTGAGCTATTTGAAATAGAAATCCACGTTACCTGCTTCTGTTCAGGTTTCAAATCAGGCCCATGTAGTTATTTATAGAAATCAAGAAAATTGCTCTTTAGATGTAAACAAAGAGATTGCTATGCAAATAAATCTCATTATATAATGTATTTAATATATAAATAGGTTACTTCACTCCTTTATATTTCTTATGCCCTGTAGAGATTTAAGTTTTCAATTCATCTAGAAGAGAGCTTTGGAAAATACCAGGCAGAAAGCCCATTGCTAAAAAGTGGGCAAAGAAATGAAAAAAAGTGAAAAATCAGTGATATCACAGAATTCAAAGGAATAAAATATTGCAAGAAGAAAGGTTTGTTAGCAGTTTCAAATGTTACAAAGAGAAAAATCTAAGGTAATGACTGACAGTTGCTTGTTGTGTGTTTAGCTAGATAAGGGAGTCAGTGCTGATCTTGACAAGTGAAGCCTTAGTGGATCAGTGGGGATGCGAGTATGGGAGAGTGACACAGGAACAAGGAAGGACACGTGTATTGCTGGGTTGAAGAATAAACTGCCTGGTTAAGAAGTAAAGAGTTAGTAGGCCACTGGAGATCCCCTTGCAGAGGGGTCTCGGGGAGGAGATGAGCCAGTCAGGGTGTGATGTAACAACGATGAGAAATACAACTTTCCTCTAGTTCCTAAATGTTTCCTCCCCGCTCCCACTACCATGACTCGAATTC